TTTTGGTTTGGGGATAGATCCATTTGTGTGTGTGTGTGTGTCTATAGCCATGTAGAAAGGCGGAAAATTTGCTCAATTTGATATGTTGGTTGTTAGTATTCCACTTGAATCAGCTGTCTGGCTATGAAATTTAACTTAGAAATATGCTTGACATTCCAACTTTTTCAGCAGACAAGATATCAGGGATATTATTACCCACTTTTACAGGGGAAAACTATCAAATAACCATAACTTTTGAAAGGAAAAACTGAAAGAGGAATTGAGATATATGTGTGTGGCTGTTATTATGACCAACAGCAAAGCAACCACACGAGAGATCAAGTAAGCAACCGAGTTAAGTGTGCATGTGCGTGTCTATAGGACAGAGCACAGTACTGTGACAAGAAATGATAATCTCCCACTGTCCACCCAGAGAGGAAATGATGTCTGCAGTCCGGACTGTTGTTTTTGTGAATCAAAGCTGACAGACACGACTCATTTCTGGTGAACAATGTTTTTAAATTGAGCTCCACCTACTGTAAAAACAGCAATAGACATATAGTGACGGTCATGAAAAGAGGTCACTTCCACTGGACCAGATTCACCCCCATGTGATGAAGTCCTAAATATATTACAGATGAATTTCTACATTAAGCAAATTACAAAGAGTTAACAAGTTAACAAGTACAAAATGTAGTAAACAAGTAAGCAAGAAATAATGTGGTTCTTTGATGGTAAATCAAAGTTACAAGCTGCTGTATTTAAAAATATAATTCAAGAACATTCAGTCAAAATCAGCCAAGGGAGCTGGAACCTGAACAAATATACACAGATACTGTACATGCACCCAAGAATTCAGGCTGCTCATTAGGCAAAGGAAGGTGGGAGGTTTTTGTATATAGTAATGTGCTGAAGGCTCCCCAGTAGTTCAGCTTTAAGGCTCAGTGAGCTGTTAACCAGCTCTTGTTGTGTTTAAAATGCTTTGGTCAAGAATACTGTGACAACAGCGTATGAGAGGGAGAGCACAGGACATTTGTGATTTGCTGTCCCAGCTCAGATACCAGGAAAGCACAGAGTGACCCAAGAGGAGAGGGAAGTATGTGTTCCTGTCCCTTAAGGTTATTTGAACGGGAAGACGATATATTTCCAAGCATCCACCTCTCGCGGGCAAACAATAAAATGCTTTTGATTACAGAGACTCTTTAGTCCCTACGGCAGGCGTGTGATGTGAGCAATCCATCATAAAACCTACATAAAGTAATGAAACACCTCCCTATCCTGTGTTAAACTTCCCTGACACACAGCACAATTTAAAGAGAGTTACTAGTGTTAATTTTGTTTTTTAACGACTTATCGGTACTGTTAAGGGAGTGCAAATATGCCAAGGATAACGGGCGAGGTACAAAAACACTTTGCTTTCAAGCTTTGCCTCCTAGGATTAAGCAGCTGCCCAGCTAACTATGGAGCCCAGAAGGGACAAAAAGGAAAGTATTAAAGATGGGGGGGAAAGCAAAATGGATTGCATCCCCTTACCAGACGTTTTGCCTGCTTTCATTTTACCTTGAAACTTTTTGTGCTGTGCTAAGAAATATTTCCATTCCATTTATAATACTTTTATTCAGAGAGATTTGGGAAGGTTTTTGTGTTTGCTGCAAACAGAACAGAATGATGTAAATGTCTCTTAATAATGCAAAGTTTGTGGCTTAGCCTTGATCTACAATGGCTTTTTGTTTCCTTCCTCACTCTCCTTATTCTCTCTCCAATAATTTAAGTCTGATTAGTCGACACCTTTCTTATTTTTCCACTGTTAAGATCCTTTTCTCTCTCTGTCTCCTAGTGCTACCCTTCATTTACGCTCTCTCTGCTGCTCTTGCCCTGCTCCGATCCCTCCTTCATATAATCATTGTGTTCTTTGGCTCACCTCATTAGTTGAAGCAATAAACATGTGGGGCCACAGGATACCTCCAGAAAACTCCTTAACATGATTACTACAAAGTCAGGCTTGCCACATACAGGACACCTGTGTACCATAAAGCATGTTTGTGTATGTGTGAAAGACAGAAGGGAGTAGAAACAGACAAACTGTGTGCGACTTTTTATTGATGTGCATGTGTGAAAGACAGAAGGGAGTAGAAACAGACCGAAACTGTGTGCGACGTTTTATTGATGTGCATGTACTTATAACATGGCAGTGCGCCCTGTCCATAAAGAAAATAAAGCTCTGGCCTCTCTATGAAATCATTAAAACATACATATTACAATGGAAACCTATTAATCAGACCAAATGGTTTGGCATAAGAAGAAACATGCTGTCTCCTGGTTTATTAAACACTATGTTTAAGATTCTCACTCAAACAATGCACACTCTGTTGTTCATTTGTGGCGTCTATCTGCTGTATATGATCTAATAAAGAAGAAACACAAAAAAGAAGGAAGGTGTTTCTTTGCAAATGCACATTTTTGACTATATGATCTGCATTTGTTTTATAATGAGATGTGCTCCTACTTTTTCAGTTTTATGATCCCGAGGCAATTCTGCCACAGCTCTGCTGATTCACTGCTGCTCAGCGTTTTCAGAGTTTCTCCAGTGACCCCTAACAGGAGCAGCTCAGATGGTGTTTTGACAAGGGAAGGACTGGAAACTCCCCCATTTTCAATAGTCTGGTTATTAAAACAGCTCTGCCTGGACTCAACTCTGCCCGTATTTCTACAACCGCAAAGGACTCATAAAAACACTCTGGCAAAGTCAGAAACCACACTGCAGCAAGATTATACAAACTCCCTCCATATGTGAGGAACCTAAGACAGTACTTGGCTCTGTTGTGGCTCTACAGGAACCCATAAAAAACACTAACATATATTCATGAATATTATGTACTGACACAGCCAGCCAAACTTGCACGTGTAGGAATCCCATCGTATAAAATACAAAGTCATGTGCACACTCATATGTGCCCACATAGATGTCCTCCTTTCAATATCTACAGGGACAAAATTTAATTAAAAATACTCCTTTTGGAGAAACTGGAAAATACAATATGCTATTTGGCAATGAACAGAATAAACTTGGAACTATGTAACTTGTATGTGTCCTCAACACACTGGGCTTCAGTCTCCATGTGTTTTGTGTCTTTACAGGAAGAAGAGGGATAAGATACTGTAGCAAAGACAATAGGAGAACATCCTGTGTGATGCTTCTGATCCTGTTCTCACAGAACCTCATCATGTTTTCACCTTTAGCACTGAAAAGCAAATGATTAAAACAAAATGCATTCAATTTAAAGATCATCATTTAAATGATTCATGTATGAAGTAAGCTAATGTGCAGACACTTTTCATGTCAATGTGACTTTTTCCCCACAGTGACAGTGGAGGCCACTAAAAACACTGCAGCCATTGTTGCTTAAACAAGCAAAAACGAACACTGCAATTTTACAAAATTAGACAATTACCATTAAAATATGAACAACCCTTTTACACCAAGTTTGGCTAACTGCGTTAAACTCATCTGACCTGCTGTAACTAGCCTGTTGCAGAAGTGAGCGTCAGTAGGTTTTATGTATTCGGACAGACAATTTCTCATGCTCATCTGAAAGCTGAACCTGTGCGCTGCTGCCACACTGGACACTGGACTTATGGCTCCACTTCAGCCAAAGTTTAAGTTGTGTTTAGAAGTCGAACGTGGGATTTCCCGATCATGAAGCGCTCATTTCTCCAGGAGGAATCAGCAGCATGCGCTCCTTCTGCATCACATGCACAGCTGCACCCCTCTGTGACCCGTCCCAGACGCGCTTCCTGGCCTCCACTTATGGCTGTTCAATGCACTGTCAGCTCCCAGATAACAAGATGTGTTGAATACGGTCTCAACTGTCCTTCAGCCACCACATCAATTCCTCCTTTTCACCTCATTAATCAACGCCATAGCAAATACTGGGACTTTTAGCAGCCATAGTGTAAGTTGGGGTAAACTGCTCTCTGCTTTCTTATTGGTCTAAATGACAAAGGCCCGTCACATTTTTCCATCATTATTTCAAAAGAAAAATTCCGCCAATCACAAAAAATATTCGATTAACGTAACCGCTCTGTTATATATTCCATTAACTGTGACTGCCAAGGTTGCTCCTGTGAGAGATTTTCAAGTTTATAAAAACACGCTCACAGCAGTGGCCATGGCCTCTCTCTGTCACACTCAGCCTCTTATCCTCAGTCCTCCAAATCTTTCTAACTTTCTCACACTGTCTTGCTCATTCACTCTGTCTCCGATTTCCATGGCTGTAACTTCAGTGTGGATGCCAACTCTGCTCAGCCCGTTTATACACACACACACACAAACACACAGAAGGCACAGTCAGTAATATGGAGAGCAGAACCAACACAGAATAAATCATTTTTCCACAGCAGGAGTCTGCCCTGAACAAAGAGCCTGTGTGTATATGTTTTAGGCATGTGTGTCTGACCGTGTGTGTGTTGATCTATTAACATATCCTCTGAACAAAACATTCCTCTTTCATGCATAACAAACATAATGTTTCAGTGCAAACAGATGAAAGCAAAAGCCAAGAACAATTTTCTCCACCGAACCAAGAATCAATCAAGTCATAAACACTCTTGCGCCACTGTAACGATTTAGTATTGCACTTTTTCTTGAGGCAGAAAAAAAGAGACTTCAAAAAGCAAACCACATAAACACAACAGCATATTCTGTGTGGAAATGTCACATCATTTTAAAGCATTTACAGAATAAGCACATCAAAACATCAGTGATAGAAGGCCAACTTCATAAAGACTGAATAGGTCCCAGGACTGTAACATATTCCCTAAACCCATAAAAAGGCAACCTTAATACCTCTTGGCTTATGATGATTAGGGAAAACATGTTTAAATGTGCTGATTTATACTGCAGGATGTACGTGAAATCCTTTTGGGATGTACTTGTGCAATTCTCTGTTGACATGAGCGGATTAACTAAAGCCTGGGTGTGAGTTGACTATTTGAGACACTGTGTGTATTCATTCTCTTACCTGCTGTGGCTTAAAGTGTAGCATCCCTTTGCACACTCGGACTTCTTCTCCCACATCACGCGTTCCGGTTAGCTGCATATCCTTCTTGCTAGGTTGCCATGTCTTATGAAAAACAACCACCTCCCAGACCTCCTCTGAGATGTGTCCTGATGGCAGTGTCCTGACAATGGCTCTGGTTCCAGTACACACCGACTTGGTCACCTTTTGGAAAGAAGTAAAAGTATTTCAGCATTTCTTATTGTTTTGATTATAAATGATAAAGGCTGTCAATTAAGAAATAAACATGATAAACACATTTATTCAAGATATATACACACACAATAAAACACAAACTTATCACAAGACAAACAGGAAAAAAGTGTCATACACATAAATACCTTTTGATTATTCTTGAAGAAGCGCCTGACTAGAACCGTGGAACGCTCTTTACGGTTCCTTACAAGCTCCGTACTAACTGTGCTGTCCAAGAAACCATCTCCATCCACTTCACTGCTGCTGTCGTTTCCGCTGCAGTTCCTGGTCACTCCTGATGGTGACCTCTCATCCTGCCCCAGGGATTTTGTCATGGTTTCAAGAGGTGACTGTTGTTGGAATACTTTCTCCAGGGAGCATTTGTTAACCCTGGGCCTCCTGTTGAGCCTCTCTAAACTCGAGTAGACATTGTTGACATATTGCCGGCGGATGTGCCCATTTTGGGGATTCTGGCAGTGGCTGGGGCAGGGTGAACTACAGGGAGATGACACCAAGGAGCTCGGTTCACTGGATGGAGTGCATTGCGATGAGAGGCAGGGTGATGTCTAGAAACAGAAAACGTGTCAAATTAAACCATTCACGATGATGCTTTTTGTTCAGTTAAAAGTGTTTCAAAGTGTTTAATCGAGTAAATTCACAGTGTAAATGCTGTGATGTTTGGTTTTCTCACTGGGTGCTAAGAAACAAGCATTCTGAGCACACAAAACACACAACACAGCCTTGATGTAGCAGCTAAATGTACAGAATTTGCAGGTAATCACAGCATCTTCACTTATTACCTTGTGAAAAGCCATCATTGAAGTAGGCAGGCTGCTGCGGCGAATGTGTTGCTGGCTGGGACAAGAGGGTCTGGAGCTGAGACATGGACTATGAACAGGGCTGGAGTTGGGGCTTGAACTAGATCTGGGGCTGTCGCAACAGTAAGTGTCTGGAGTCATGTAAAGGCTAGAGAGGTAGCAGGAACCATGGGTGCTGCCAGTTCTGTTTCTGTCCACATCCACGCCCTCTCCAGGGGTGTCCAGCTGGCACAGAGATCCCTCTGAACTTTTCTCAGCTGTCAAAGTAACTGCGTTAGTTATTCTGTCATTTCTCATGCCAGCTGACAGCTGTGGATAAAGTTTCTCTTTGGTACTCAAGAGTTCTGAGCTGTAATCCAAACACCCATATTCCTCATCCAAAATTGTCCCTTTCCAACTGTCACAGGACAACTTCCTATGTAAAAGGAGGGAAGGGCTACTCTGCTGTTTGAACTGCCACAATTGTTCAGAGTATCGTCGTACTTCCTGGCTGTCAGTTGCATGACTGGCTTCTCTGCTGGGTCTCCTTCCAGTGGACTGAGATGAAGCATGGTGAGCCAGGACTACAGGCCCAATCTGTGTCTGATCATCTTCAGTAGCCATCGTGTCTCCCTGTAGGATCCTGCTCTATACTCTGCTTTGCTGCAGCTTTAAAAAGAAGCAACACTTTGATGTTAATTACAGTTAAGCAGAAGATTGTAAAAGCATTGAGGGCCTTCGGGGTTTGGCTTAAATCCTTTCTATTCATGATGCAAGCATCAGTCAAATACATTCTTCAAAGACCCTCTAAACCTCTGTACACTGGAGACTTCTTCACAGGGACCTCGTCCATCTCAATTAGTGGCTCCATAGAGCAGCAAGAGGGAATTAAATTTGCAGAGGAAATGAAACTTGAAGACTTCAAACCCAGTATACTGAGCAAAGTGACAACATTCTCATGTTTTTCAAGTTAGCTGAGGCAGTCCAGATGAGTCATGACAGCGAGTCCCGCTTTCTCTGGTTTCTCTCATTGCTCTTCCAAAAATATCAGAGTATATAACCTTTTTCTTTCTAGGTGAACAGGAACACATTTCTCTCAGTTTCCTTTGGGCTGTGTGATCGACTATTTACATAACACTTATGCTCGTTTCATGCACTCATTTCATCATCAATAATTAGCATTAAATGTGTATTTCAGAGTTCATGACACTTACGTATAAATTCAGCTTCTAGTGATCGTTTCGGTGACTAAGGCATCCATACAGCGCGTTCTGTCTGTGTACTGTACAAACAGAAGCTTGTGCAGCTGTACAAACCACCACGCTGAGAACACAGAGTTGACCCTGGAGGACTGAGGAATTTCCTTGATAGTGCAGTTCACAGTCACAGCTTACATGGCCGTGTGCGTGCCCGTGTGCACTAGCTCCGATTGGTCCTGACATGTATCTATGGCAGTTATCCACTTGAAGGCCCTGAGAGACACAAAAAGCGGGAAAGAGAAGCAGACAGAACACAGACACATCAGTCATGCTTTCCCAGCTATTTTGTTGTTTTTTTTCCACAATAGCATCAATTTGTCACTGTCAGGTCAATAACCGAGTTTCTTTGGATCATCACCTCTTGGTGTTTCGTTCTTGAATTGTTCCCTAATGTTGTGTCTTGGAGAAACAGAACAGATTGAAGCATTCCCAGCACACATCTGGCTAGAGGGCCTTTGTGGCATTCAACTGTCACATAGAAAAGGTTTTGACTGCCACAACTCAGCATAGCATCACATACTTTCTGACTTTTGTTTGTGTGTCTGGTTTCTCTTTTAGTTCTGCTCCCAGTGAACTGTGGTGAAGTGTGGACTAAAGCCCCGTGTCTGAACTTGGCTGTCATCTCATATTCGTTGCCATCATTCCCAAGCCCTCTCTTTGCACTCACTTTTCTTTGTCTTTTATTAATAAAAACAAAAAATGTTTACAATGCTAGTAAATATGAACAAACTTGATGCATACAAACACTGACATTCTCTCAAACCTCCCTCCTCCAAACCAAACACTCATTAATATTATCAGGGTATTTGATTACATTTATCACTAACAGCTTTTTATTTTTGATACTGTCCAGTGGTCTTGCAATACAAGACTTTAATAAGATAAACCCAATTATGCTGACTTGTCAGAATGCCAGTAGGAAAAGAGAAAAGTTAAGGACACCTCTGAAACCGAATATTCCATTTTCAACAGCTGGCTTACATCACACATGATAAATAAAAAAAGATGTTTGTTATTCAGCATCTCAGAAAAACCTGATATAAGGTCACTTATTCTGTCAATGCTGATCTACTACATTAGCAGGCAAATAAATCAGAGCTGGACACACATTAACAGAACATAGATCCCTAACAGACACACACAACCCACAACAAGTACACATAATTGTGTGGTTCTGGTATCATGGTGGTGGTCAGCGGTGCAAAAGTCCAAAAACTAGTGCCTGACATCTTATAATTAGAGTGACCACAGCCCTTTAACTCGCTACCGAAATGCATTGACCACAGTCAGAATGTGGGACCGACCCAGAGAGGGAGGACCAGCTAGACAGGGTGTGTGGAAGAGAGAGAAATACAGATAGGGAAGAGAAGGCTCAGCTCACTGATTCTTGGTAAATTCAAGGCAACACTCACACAGACACATCAAGGTGCCTGTGTTGGCTGTTACACTGCTGATTAAGAGCAAATACCTTCTGACTGTTGACCAACAGACATATTTAATAAAACCTGACACAGAATAGGATTAACAACCTTTGCATCTTCATTTTTTTTAAAGTTGGTGGGGAAAAAGCTCCACTGCGTCTGAGCAGATCAAAATCAAAGTTTGTGTTGTTAGCAGAGAGTTATCATCATGTCATATTACTTCTGTTGAGTAATCCACTCGCCACTGATCCATAACAGGGACATTCTCACCTGCATGTCTCAGTCAACTAACAGGTCCAACCAGATATATCAAAAGTTGGCAAAGAATACATGCAAATCTATGAGCCACTACATCTGATAGTGTATTACTCTCTTGGTATCAAATCATAAATGAGTAGTGTTTCACTTTATCTTTTAAATTAAGGACAAATAAATGCTATAGTATGACAGTACTCCACCATTCCACGAACCTGTATGTACATGCCCATATTCCTAACTGCCAACTGAAATCACAAATCAAGTTTCATTTGTATTATTTGTTTTGATTGCAACTTGCCATGAGCTTGGGCGTACAATAGCTACCGAAGTAGATTTAGCAACTATGACACATCATAGCAACAACTACAACTGCAGGAAATAATTAAAAAAAAACATAAAGGCTGAGTAAAGCTAAAATGTCCAGCACACAAGATGTAAAACACCTGTGCTCATCTGTTGCTTCAGCGAATGTACAGATGTTAGCTGTAGCATCAAGGCTGATTTCACTTGACAAACTGATAACATATGTTATGGCATGACCATGTGCGATGGTGGGTCAGGAGGTCATTACTAATGTAACGTTTTGGTTACTCAAGGCATGAAGCTGGACACTGCAGCTTTAAATCCTAAAGCCTTGTGCCCACAAACATGAAGGACAGCTGGGCTTGCCATCAAGCTAATTTAAAACACTCTGAAATTAGCAAGGGGATAATATTTCTGCACTGTGGTTCCTTAAAATGGAAGCATGTGCACCTCAAGTATGATTAGGTATAGATGCATTACAGCTGTTCATTTGGTGTTTGTTCTACTGACTCTATTTAACCCTTACTATTTACAGAAACAGCAAAACAAAAAGCGGCCATAAAAAATACTTCCTGGTGACAGAGCAGACTTTAGTAACCTAAATAAAACAACCACACGCACACAAGCTAAACAGTAGCTCTTGTTATCAGTGAACTGTGACCCGGGCCAAGAAAGCAAATGGCTCTTCCAGGCTAAATCTCAGCCTTGGGCCAAAAACGCAGACGGGCACATCCAGCACAGGAAACCAGGTCACACAAAATGACAAGTGCATTGACCAAAAAGAAAACAAATCACTTCTGCTTCACTTGCTGTATTACATACAGTGCTGTACAGCACAAGGCACTCATTACACCAAGACACAGAACTCTTCAAATTCCAAAATCAAAGCAGTTGGTTATCATTCTCTTACACCACTTACATTTAATGTAGATATATGCTGTGTAAAAGTTTTGAAAACTAATGCTCCAGGTTTTCCAAGTGAGTCAGGATTCCTGTTCGCTATCTTGTCGTCAACAGAGCGAGAGACAAAGGGTGTGTGTGTGTGTGTGTGTGTGAAAGAGAGGAAGAATGACATGAGGGACGGGCCTTCTGCACTCAGCTGCCAATCAAGCTGTGTTTCTGAAGAATGTGCATAATTTATTGACATAACCGTTTCACCTTAACAGTCATCTCACTGACAATTACAGCACAAAACTAAATAATGCAGTCGCTTCAGTAGACGCGAGGAAAAAAACCGCAGTCTCAACTTCACCGCTGAAAAACCTGATGAAATAAGAGCAGACAGCTTTCCGCCCATTTTGCTTTAGAAGAGCACTGTTGTTTACTCCTCCAAAAAGAACTTTTCTCATGCTGCAATAAAGTGCGACACACACTGATGAAAGCAAAAGGGGGATGATCTCAGCACCTCTGACAATTTTGAAGAAACTGGAAATAATCAGAATCAGATGTATTACTGTGTATTACTTGTAATACTTGTGTGTGTCAGTTGTTGCCTTGTTTATCACAAAAGGGGATTTCCAAACTGCCCTACATCGGTTCAATTAATGATGTACTGGATATTTTCTTTAAGAGCACAATACTTTAGTTACACCATGTGGTAAGAATATAATGACAGCACATAATGAGTTTAAAGCTGAAATGTGTAAGATTTAGAAGGATTCATCAGCTGAAGTGGGCTATAGTAAGCAAAATCATGTTTTAAGAAACGTGGACTCACCAGAAAATAAGAATCATTGTATTTTCTTTAGCTTAGAATGAGCCTTTTATATCCACACAGGAGCAGGTCCCCTGTCATGGAGGCCGCCATGTTGAGCAGCCATGTTTATTAAAAAATGTTTTAACAGTAGAACATAAAGGACAAACTACACGCTGACTCTAAAGTGTGACATTTTGTTTCACGTTGAAGTAGCAGCTTGGATTTGGAGAGGCTTGGAAGACGAAGAAGAAGTAACATTAAAAACAATGGGAAGCATTGTCATGAGTTTAAGAACTACAATGTGAAGAAACAGACCATCACAGTTATACTCGAGGAAAAGGAAGGAAGCGTGAACCCCCGTCGTCAAGAAACGGGATAGGCGATGGCACAAGATGAGGATAAACATAGGTGTAGCCTTTCCCTGATGAAAATATTTGATGAGGGACAAATGTTTCCAGAATGATGTCGAAGGTGCCTGTTTTCTGCTGGACAGGTCATTTAGTCTAACAAGTTAACCTAATTAGCCAGAACATGGCCAGTGTTGGATAATTCACTGTGGTCAAGTGAGCCACCGTTAGCGTTTGCATGGTCAAGTCAGCCGCACTTGTTTTCTGAGTGCGTAAATTGTCCTACATTTATGGTAATCACTGTGAAATAAATGGCTGTGAGGCACAATCCTTTGATAAACAAATGACAGAATAAGGCTCCAAGTGGTCATAACTGATCAATGAGTTTAAATTCTGATACAGCTCCAAACTGGGTCAGTGGTCAAACTGGTCAACATGTTCAGAGACATTCAACCACGTACTGAAATTATGGTTTTTTTAAACTAATGCCCCTTGTGTGTAATGATCCTTTTGTCTCGTGTGTGGTCAATCAGAATGAATAACAATTTGCTTTAATGAGTTTCGGTCTCAGGACTGGAGCAATTTTGGAGCCCCCATCCTAAATCATTGTTTATCCCTTCAATGGGGTGGGGGGCTTCGCTCTCACATAAAAGCCCTTTTCTAATGTTCATTCATGAGGGATTATTTCACAACTCATCTGAACGATGACTCATGGCCTGGTATGTGACTAGGTCCAACTTCACATGCAGCACAGCAAAATAAAGCCCAGCCAGTGAGGTAGAAAACAGCAATGTGATTCATGGAAAAACCTTCATATATTCAATTATATAAGGCTTACTTTAATACTGCACAGTCAGCAGGCAAAGGAAAGTAAATAACAAAATAAACAATACGTATAAATGTAAAATGAGAGCTAAGATGAAGTGTCACTTTTCCTTGTGAGCCTCCAAAATACCTTGCTAAATACTTCACTCTCAGATTCAGTGCTGGATCTTCAGCATTCCACCAGCATAATAAGCAGATCAGGGAGAGAAGGAATCCCCTTCTCTGTTGTGTAGAGGTCACAAAAAAGGGTGTGCCATGCGAGTACAACAGAGTGACACTCCAACTGGTGTCATCACACTGCACATAGATGTTTGTGCAATGACAGAGTACAACCAGATTTACTCTTTAGTCATGAGCACTTTCATGATGCCAAAAAGGTGACTGTTTGTGCAAAAACTAGTGGGGTACCAGACACTGATTTTACTTATGTGCAAGATCCTTAAAAAAAATAATAAAAACTCCAACTGAGTGAAGAATAAATTAAGAAAAGCAGGCCAGTAGAAAGAATATTACATGTTAGAGAATGTAGTTTAACTAGGGATGTGGTGATCTGATAGTTGTATTGCTATCAGTATTAACCAAATTTGATACAATTTTATTTGCATAGCGCCAAATCACAACAAAAGTCATCTCAGGACACTTTACAGAGTAAGCTCTAGACCTTACTATTATTATTATCATAGAGGAAAAAACCCCACAAATCCCCCTTGAGCAAGCACGAGGCGACAGCGGGGAGGAAAAACTCCAAGAAACTATAGGAAAAATAAAGCTATAGGAAAAAGGAACTTGCATTCAAAAACTAACTAGAACTGACAAGTAAACCCTGGAATATTGTGAAAATGCTGTATTAAGCTATGAGCCACAGTGCTTATTAAGAGGTCTGTGCATAATAAAGAGAAATGGGAATAGATTGTAAGTTCAGGCAGACAGTGTTGTGGAACTACATTGCAAATTAAAAATCATGGTTCACAGCCATCTCGAAGATTTACAAACAGAAATTTGGCACAGTTCCTTTTAAATCTTCAGTGCAGTAAAGCACTCTTGATGCAAAGGACCACCACCCCCACCCCCAAAACGGGGGTTCGGAGAAGAAAAGACGCATCATGTGACTACAATAGAACCACATTCCTTAAACTGGTCATAGCTGAAAAGAAATGAACAAATGTTACTATGCAGTGCAAAACCTAGACAAAGAGAGAGATCAGTGAGGATTATAACGAATCCTAATTTGGATTTTTGCATTACTAACAGAGCGACTGTGGGTAGATAGGAAGAACAAGCCCTAAAAACATGGTTTCTGTTTAAATTTGGCGATCCAGTAGAAGACTGGTTACTGCTAATGTTAGACAAAGTTTGAAATTAAAATCATATTAATTCAAAATTATGACCACACTAGGACGCTAATTTTACCAAAACAAGCACAATAATCTTGCCCCATGTTAAAGATAGGGATTTTTGTGATTTTTTTCCCCCCCATTATTTTTTGTGACCTTAACCTTTTTCAGACAAAATCTAATCACTTCTAGACTTGGCCCCCCACCTAAGTCGGTGATGATCCATCCAGCCGTTTGTCTGTAATCCTGCTAACCATCACACACATGTGGAACCAAAAACATGACCTCCTTGGTGGAGGTAACTAGCTGTAGACGCTAACACATCCAGAAAGAAGACATCTGAATTAAATTTGAGTCCTTTGGATGCTTTTAAGGCTCTCCATCTTAAAAAGCCCATCTTTCTTTGTCCCCCTCTCTCTCTCTCTGCACAAAACAACACAACCTCTTCAGTCTGGCAGCCGCTGTTTCGGACTTCTAGCTGATGAGAGCTCCGCCATGGCTGGCTGTTTGAAACGACTACTCACTGTTTGAAAAACACTTCTTAGAGCCTTCACTTGATAGCAGGGGTCAATTTATGGACCAGACTTTGGCACTTGATTTAACAGATAATGTGTAAAATCCTAGTTAAGGCACCTTTAATACACTGATCTGTCAGGAATGAATAAGTTTCAAGACAAATTTCTCTGTTCTCATGAACATGTTGTCAAATTGACCTGAAACAGCTGCGTGGGATGCGATCCTTTGCTGGTTACCTTTCACTTTTAACAAAGTCCCTCTGTCAGTAAAAAAGTGAGGGGCTGGTTACAGTGGGAGCAGAGCTGCAAACAGAACAGACTTTTCATGCGAGGGACCTGGAGAACATATGACTTTGATTAGCGGGCAGGGCTGAAAGAGACGCCAGCAGAGCCGCTCAGAAAGAGGGGCTCCTCTATGTGTGAGTGTGTGTGTATATCTGTTTGTGTGTGCATCAGTGTAACAGGGGGAGAGGGCTGACTCAAGAAAGGGTGACTGTATTTTCATGGTGGATATGTGTGTGATGGCGTGTGTGCACATACACACATACAAAGGCAGAACAAAAGATCACTCAAAAGAGGGAGGATGCTGAACCTGGAGCACAGAATGAAATATGTGCCTGTGTGTTTCTAATAACTGAAGGAGAATGAAGGCTTAACAATGGTTGCCCACACCAGGATAAATAATGGTGAGCCATATCAAATTTTGCTACAGAGAAGACTCTTTGTTGTGAGCCCGAGGCAATCAGTTAAAGGTTTTTCATATGCGCTAACAAACTCCAGTGCCGTTGATAAACCTCTAAGTAACTGCTCATCAGCTGCTTTTTTCTTTCCAGAGCACATTACATTGTTGGGGACAGCATATGGCAAAGTGAACGCCTTAGCCTGGCAATATCACAGCAGTTATTAAGGAAATGTCTACCATGCGTCTAAACACACAATTAAGTAACCCTATAAGCAGCTTCAGGTTCAACATCTTAAAGCATTTTAAGACTACTCTGAAAAACTGAAATGTAACCTTTAGCTCAAATATCAGCATTGGCAAACAAATCTCAATATCAAAAGGAGAGAAAATGTGTATTTAAACACCAAACTTAAGGAATATTACAGTGTTTCCATAAAGTCTTCTGTTGTAATGTGACTTAGAGAACAGGCTTAAAGGAAATATTTTAAACATACAGAGACTAAAACCAACAATAAATTGCTTGCACCAGCAGTTAATGTCTGTCAGTCCTAGATCAGCTTATTCATCTGTGCCATAGACCCCCATTGTTGTTCAAATACAATTGATAAGACATTACACTGCTACACTTACTGACATGCTGTTCTCTGTATGAGGAAGGGCTGCCCCCTAATAGTCCAATAGTTGAGTTATTAGTCCAGAGACCTGTCAGTCGACTGAGACTCTTCTAGTTAAGCCTTTGTTTCTATTTTATTATAGCAAAAAGCTAGTAAACATAGATGTAAATAATGCAGGGTCCATTCGTTTTTGTTTTTTTATCAGCTTTGCAAATGTTTTTCTGATGAAGACAGTGGGTTTAACATGTTCATTAGTATTAGGAACCTTTAATTTCCAGACAGGTAATAAAAGTGCAGTATCTGCTTGATCAGCATGTAGCAAAAAAAGCTTGATGCTTAGACTACAAGGTCAAAGGTCAATGATGACTACAATTTGCACTCTTCCAAAGCCAAACACTAAAAAAAACTGTGATGTCATTAAGACAAGGTCTGGAGTTACTCCACAGCTGAGCAAATGGGAAGCACCTACTGGGGTTTCTCCAAGTGCTGATGCCCAAATATACAGTACATACAACAAGTTTGTGAACAATCCAACCAGTCACCCCTCGCTGTCTGTTCCAGGTTTCTAACTCAAGTCATCACCACCCCTTCTGTCTCACAGCAGGCCATGATGATGAAGTGCACATGGAGAACGGAGCTGAATAAAATGACAGCACAAACATCAGTTTTAGAAGAAGTTAAAGTTGTATCACAGACGTAATCCAGCCTTTAGAAATACTGTCAAACTATCAACCACAGCATTCAGATCTTTTTAAGAGATCATGTCTGAACCTATTATTATGGTACCTGTTTTTCCTTGGTTGCCCAAAAGGCAAGATTCCTTCTGTTAGACTGATTCTGATCTGGATTTGATTCATTAAGGACAGTATTTCACCTTTATCTGCACTTGTAACAGACTCATGTCTTTGCTTTAAAACAACCTGCACGTGCAAAATCACGTCGAAAGGAGTCGGAGGTCATTTTTTCCCCTGGATATCTTGGAGACTCTCCCTGTGTAAACAATCACCTGGCGTGCACATAGCGTGCACATAGCGCTACCTGCGTTGTCAAAACGCTTAGCTTATTTAGTGTTGACTAAATAAAACACACACATTTTGACGAATTACTTTAAAAACAGCAAAGCAATGCAAGGCTGTTAGGAGTCAGAGGATGTGAATTCACTTTTTTGTCGAGACTGAAAAGAGGTCAAGATAACACCCGCATTTTGTCCACATTACTTTCTTGCAGCTGACAAAGCCAAGCGAAGGTAAAAACATTACTTGTAAGCTTATTTTTTTGGATGACTGGGAATCCTGGACACCCTTGTAGGAACCACTGACACTGTGTGCTGCGCAAACTCCCGACTTTAAAACTCGTGCAACGCAAATTGTGAACGTATATCTAGTTAAACGTGTATTGACGTGACAGTTTGACGGCGTGGTGGCACAAACTTACCGACCAATGCTGTCAAATCCAGTTAGCGTCCGTAAAAAAACTCTTCAAAGTCCAACACGTGTACTACTGGTTGTTCGCTGTTTGCGCCGCTTGACAACTCGGAGACAGTTGAAACTCGTATTGCGGTGGGAAACCGCTCTCGGCTGTGATGCCTTCATGTCCAACTCGGAATACAGCACTCTAAGGGTGAGCGATTCAAGTTCATTTGTTCAGTAGGAAACAACGTTCTCCAGGCGAGGAGGAAACAGGCTTGACATGTATTTATTCCTTTTAATTAATTGTATTTATTATTATTATATACTATGTATAAAACCGTTTAGGGTTGAGGGCAGATGTGATGTTTTCTATTAGTTTACAGTAGGCTACATATTTGTCAAAAGGAAAGGCTATGTGAGTACTGTATGTTGCAAAAAGATATTAAAAATATGGCCGTTTATTGGGATTACATGAGCCTTGCATTTACATTGATATCTACTTGCATAAACTAGACCAAGGCTCAATAACCAACTTAGCAAAATGTGGCCTCCCAAATCCCCAGTTTGACAGCATCAAAATGTGTATATATTTCCAGATCATCTTAGAAAACATACTCCTGGATTATTCTTGCATAAGAGAATTTGTTGGTTTCCGGCCATATAGTGAAGCTTACATGTATATGTAAGCTTTTGTACACCTCTGTGTACAAAACAGACAGCCATTTCAAGATGCACATAGAACCTTTATTGTTAAACATACATAACAGTGCCTGATGGTTTCATGACACCTTGCCCTTTATTGTTCTATACAAATGCTCTGTTGAGTTTTGGCCAGCAGATGTCGCCATATATGATTATATCAAATGCTTCGAAACACTGAACCACTTCAGCACAGTTGCTTCATATTAATTTAGTGGTTCAGAATGTTTCGGTTTCTCCATCACTAGTATATAGTCTGCTGTGTTCACTTAATTAAAGAATTCGGAAGTGACAAGGTAGATGTAGTGCACAGGTATGTCACCTCACTTATTAACATAATATTGTTTTGAGAATTACAATTAAGTATTCTTTTCTATGTGTCCAAAGTCCAAAATATACTATGTTACCTGTGATCTAATCGCAATATATCCAACAGCATACAAACACAGCCTCTGCACCCCAGTTGCCAACTGATTTGTGGACAGGCGGACAATAACTGCGGCTCTGGTTGTGGTATCCTATGTGTGTATGTGTCACCACATTGGAATGTCTGACAACAGTTTCTCACCATAGCCAATCCTCCACTTTATGCAGCTATACATTGTTTCCTCTAAGGGTATGTTTTATAGGGGTTTTTATAGACTCGTTATGTTGATCTAGGTCAAGACCAAGTCACAGAAATAAGCCTACCCGACTAAATGACCACATGAGAGACACCTTATCTTATTAACCGTTTGCCATGCTTGGACCAGGTCTGGCCCATATTCTGCCAGTCTTAGCCCAGATAGCTATATGAGACAGATTCAGTCAACAGATGTCTTTAACATTTAAGTTTTCTAATGGGTTTACTTGGATGGCAAAGGAAAATTTCATGCATTGTAAAATCATGTCATGTAGTTTCATTGTGCTTCGGCTCTTGCATGGCTGCAGACACATTATTATGAAAGTAGGAAAGAAAGCAGGTTGCAGTGGTGCAGTTGTTCCGTTTCTACCCCCACCGCCGACCCAGGGAAAACACGTGCCTGATTGAGATGCCCCCTTTTTTTTTTACTTTACAACCTATAACTTCATCTAGTTCAGCTTGGAAAATGAAAGATTATTTTCCAATTCCCTCCTACTCCACTGTTGGGAAGTCTTATGCGATCGGGCAGGAATGTGCAACCCTTCAACTCCTCCAGCTCTCCTCAACCCAGAAGCGCACAAACCTTTTGGGATTCCCCAGCTCGCTGATAAAAAATAAAAAAAGAGGGCGGGTGGCTTTTCCAGCATTATCAGATATTGTTACACACCCCCATGTGCTCTCAGAGATTTATTTAAATGCTACTTAGATCTTTGTCACATCTCCTCCCAGGCAACAAGTCCTAGTGTCATGACTGTAATATTTTTTATGATGTAGTGAATTATTTCTAAATCTTAAAGCTTCTGTCAGTTACATTGTTGCAGTGCTGCTGAAATTAAATGACATGCAGTGACAATGGCCCAGTCTATGTTTACCAATCCATAATATCGGATGTAAGTTACTAACCTGACACACACAGAGTCTGAAATAATAGAATAAAATTGCTAATGAATGTGTTCATCATTTATAAAACACCTTAAGGTGATTTCCATCTGCTAATAAAAGCGTGTCTAGATGAAAGTTGTGTTTGTAATTGCATGTGATTTCTACTTTGTCAGTGTGTGCACGGCAGATATTTCAATGCTGGAGCCTGAGAAAGTTCAGCCGAGAGTCAGATCTATTACAATATTCAAATGAAAGTAGGAGAAATGAGAGGAAGTACTGAAAATAGGAAGGAAGAAGATATGTTATCAAGACTGAAATTTGGGCATACTGGTTTAAAATGCACATTGAAGTTAATAAAGAAGCATAATACAGGGGAATGTGAGATGTGTAGGGTACAAGAAGCTGTGGAACATGTTCAGGCGGGAGAGGGAATTATTCAAAAATACAGTTTTAAGCAGTGAAATGAACTTTAGTTTACAGGAGGTGTTGAGGAAAAGGTCAGGAGACACAGGATACAGAGGACTTATCAGGTTTTTAAAGAGCACAGCGTTAAGCAAGATAATATAATGTGAACTGAGTGAGGTTAGTTTGTTATAGTAGTAGGTAGGGGCCGTTCTGATCCACACTCCAGTCTAGAAGGTGGCGTTAATGCACCTAAAGCTGTTTGCCAACCGTCATTAAACAACAGAAGAAGAAGAATCTAATTGGACAGTGACAGTACAATCACAGAGCAGAGTCAAATTGTCCAATCAGGTGGTAGCTGGGTTCTTTAAGACGGACGCCAGCGGGATCTGTTCTGCTACCTAGGTAGGTTGTATTGACCGACAGTGTCCCAGTGTTTCAACTGTTGGCACCTAAAAATCGTGCTGTTTCAGAAGCAAACAGTTTAACAGTTGATAGCTTTACTGAAGAAAAACACATGAACAAGAGTCAAAAACAGGCCTAAAAATCATGCTGTTTCACCCCAGTGTACCCTTTTTTTATGGCACTGGTTCAAGTCTTAGTTCTTCACTAGATACAGTGAAGAACTAAGACTTGAACCAGTGCCTGATATCTTAGATAATAAGAGCAGAACCAGAAAGTTTTAAAGTTGTAATAGTTTTAATGAAAACACTGCAGGAAAACAAGGCTGAAAAACACTTACATGCTGACGTTTTGGCCTAAGATGGGAAATCCCGACTAATGGGGTCATCAATGCAGAGTACCTCACATTTTTCTCCATGTTGTTACTGCATGTGCCTGGACCACAGTTGTGAAGACTTTTCTTGTAGTTACACATCTATTTAGAGACCGTTTTCATCATGACTTCAGTGATACAAATTCTATAGCCAATTTGGAAATATATATGATCTTAAAATGTGACATCTTTCATTTTATATATATTTAAACTACATTTGATTTTTGAGTTTCATTAAGGCTAGATGTGTTTGTATGTGTGCACACCACAACAAGAAGATGCTCCGACTTTAGAACACAGAAGTTAATCAGTGTGACGCCAGTGTTTCTCTTTCACTCTGTGCTTGGTTTACAGAAATAAGACTCATCTCATCCTGACACAGCCTTTATAGTTATGGTCATTTTGTAAGTGTAAGATATTTTGAACAAACATTTTTTCATTCAAATGCGACTGACTTTAATGTTAAATTAAAACAGGGTGGCTGTCCTGAAGTCATCACACTTACAGATACTGTAACTGTGTCAGTGCCTCTTGGCCAAAATGCAGCCATATTAACTAGTTCAGTATTTAACATGTTGAAACTATATTCTAGTCTCTTTTCTAGTTTTCAGTTTCTAACTTTGCCAACTCATGAAGGTAATACCAAAAAGACACTGTCAACACACAAAACTCATTCTTAAAAACTTCAGGGAGGACTGGTGTAGATGATTGTATTTGACTTGAGCATATACAGTTCAGTAATTTTCTACACCGAGTATGACATATATGGAAATGACAATGAATTTACAACAATATACATTTTACAAATATTTAACTACCTAAAGAAGTCCCTAGTTTAAAGAACATTAACACAAAAAGGCATGAGTAAAAATACAAAAAGCAAATCACTTCAGCAGTTTTATCATTTATTCCTTGACTATCAAGGGACTCAATCCAGATCATGTCAAAGTGTACAAATACTATGTATCTGCTGTTTGGACAGCCGAGACCTACACAGCAGTTAAATACTGTCAACACCGTTTATAGATGAAGGTTGTTTTGTCAATCTTGTTTTGCTGATGATGCACTTCTCTTTATGAATCTGAAACAAAATCACAGTAAATATGACTGAAAACTAAAAATCAGAAACATAATAATGCTGAAAATGGTGCTGAAGATGTGAGCTCTTATTTTTACATCTTTGTTATTTTCAAAATGTTTAATTGCTAAAGCAATATTAACTCAATGTTGTCAGGGCAGTTTTCAGATGCCCATGTTTGTTATGGAGCAGCTGTAGAATTAATGTAAAAAGAAAACAAATAAAACTTTGAAACAAACTATCTTGAGCCTGAGATGTTCAAGTGTGTAAGTGATAACATTTATTTTTTTCAAATTAGAGAGCAGTGCCACAATCTAGCCACAGGGGTTTCAAGCCAGTGACTTCTGTGCCATCCCAAGTCCGGATAAATAGAGAGGGTTGCGTCAGGAAGGGCATCCAGCGTAAAAACATGCCAAATTTAAACATGTGAATCGTCAGTGTGAATTCCATACCGGATCGGTCAAGGCCCAGGTTAACAACCACCGCCACCAGTGCTGTTGACCTACAGGGTGCTGGCGGAAATCGGACTACTGTTGATCAAAGAAGGAGAGGAGGTAGAAGGATTCGTAGACAGAGAGAGAAGAGGAAAGGCAGTCTGAGAATAGGGACTCTTAACGTTGGCACAATGACAGGGAAAGGTAGAGAGCTGGCAGACATGATGGAGAGAAGGAAGGTAGATATACTGTGTGTGCAGGAGACCAGGTGGAAGGGTAGCAAAGTGCATAGCATTGGAGGGGGATACAAACTGTTTTATTATGGTGTGGA